TCCTAATTTGTGTTCCGAAGATGAACGAAGGTCTTACGGGTTTGAAACAACACGAGGGTGAGTAATTAATGATAGAATTTTCATTTTTGGGTGAACTAACCCTTTAATGTCAAATTAAAGGTTTTACTTTAAAGTAACATACAACTTTCAATAGAAATTACATTAAAATATATTTTAGATACCATAAATGTTTATCAGTACACTCAATACACAGCAATACACTTTAACCATATTTCAAAGGCAGTAGAATTATGAAATTATACACTCTAAAAAATGCTGGGTTGTTTCAACCCAACTTTGGGACAAATATGGACTAACCCAACTTGTGGGTTAAAAATTTAATGTAAAAATTTAACCCAACAGCTGGGTTAGTCCATATTTGACCCAAAGTTGGGTTGAAACAACCCAGCATTTTTAGAGTGTATAAACCTCACGTGTCAATTCATTGTTCAAAAGATGTGGGAACCAAGATTATATTATAGATATTGAACCTGTTACATTGCTCATGTCAGTGTAGCTCAATAGGGTTTGAGTTAGAATGGTAAGACAAGTCCTTCTCAACATCTGAAGTATGGGAGGTCCAACCTGTGCCTTTAATTCACAAAGAAAGATTGCATAGTCATTGTGGAATGATGTATGGACACATTTTTCCTATCCTTTTTTTTAGGATATAGCCATCTTGGCTCAACTAAAAGACCATGACATCAGTTCAACTCTGTTCTGTAAGGTTCAGACCACCTCTTGTCCGCTAGGAACGATTTCGCATAACCAGAGCTTACCCGACAAAGCGAAGCAAACCTGTTCTTCCTCAGTCTCACCAGATATGCTTGCTGGTAATGGCCATGGATAAAGCTTTCCATTAACAGCTCATTTGCTACTTCCAGCACTTATGAAAGTCTTGAAAGTCCATCAGTTATCACTCTTTGCGTATCTCGACTGCTTGCCAGAGCGCTTGCACCCCAGACAGGGCCATCTGGCCTTAATAGAGGGCCTCTGCGTCAAGAGACTTCCAAAGCTTCCTAAAAGTGAGTCTGTGCCCACCTGCCTCTTCACGGTTCTAATGGTCTTCTAATCTAGATTGAGAGCCGTGACTTATCTTGAGTCATACATGGGCACACCATAGACAGGGCCTTTTCTCACCATGAATGAATGCAGCTGAAACATTTAAGCGGAGATACGGCTCTCCTGGGGCAATGAAACAGGGGTTTATAATGGATTCTGCCATCAGAGGCCCTGGAACCCTTCTTCATGGCTGTGTTTATGAGGCGTCCGTGTCCCACAACTTCACACATTCACTCCTGTGTCCGTACTGTGATTTTCCTGTGATTAGTGGAATTTAGTGTTTCACAGCTTAGCACCCACTTCTTATAGCCTGCCAAAGCTGTGAGTGTTAAAGACATGGAGGTAAACGAAACATTACACCTTTACAAAACAGTATTGTGGAGGTGTACAGTACTTTGATACCATAATGGTTAGGATTGGGAATAGAGAACCACTTCTTATTCAAAACTAGTTAAATTTATAGTCCAAATTCTTAGTTTCTGTTCAGCAGAGAAAAATCTGAATTTAATGAAAGCAAACGACACAGTAAATAGACCAAGCATGTTTCTAGTGCATTGTCCTCTCTGGCTGTTTGCAGTTTGATGCAGTCCAACTCGCAAGTGACTCTAATGAGCCAAATTGTTTTAATGAACTGACTCATAAATCAGTCTGAAACTCACGAGTTCACTATTTGTGTGAATCAGTCTGATGACTCACTCGCTGGCTGAATCGGTCTTGACTTTTTCACTGAACCGCAAGTCATTACCTTTGTCGTGTCCAACTGGAAATGAACCAAGAACTTTTAATGTGTTATGTTGAACTGAAGGCTCATGAGAGTTTAGTGTAATTACCAACTGGTTGTTCACATGGCAAAGTGCAATTGAAGATTAACATTCAGAAGAAAGTTGTTGACAGATGGTCCTCTAATAAAAATAAAAATACCATTGTTTTTGTTTAGAATATTTGGTTCAGGACAAATTATTCATGGGTTTGCACTTTTTGAAGTGCTCAAAGAATCGTCAATAGGGGAATCAGAATATTTAACAGATGGCAACACCACAGTACTGTGGAACTGAATGATTGATTTACCATTAGCCATGGTAGTCACATGCAACTCCAAGGTAGTTCAAAGAATTCCATGATACTTGCTGAGTTCTGAGAACTTGTATTAGGGTCTGTTTTCATCTCTCCCTGTCTTTTGAGGTCAGTGTACTGTATATGATGCACAGATCGCCTACTTTATGTCAGTTGTATTGGCTTGGTCATGCCAAAGTTGAAAAGAAAATGAGAATATTGAGTTGTAACAGGGACACAGAATGCGGTGGTGTGCTGCGCTTGCCCTCGTTGCGGCATGCTGGGACGTGCCACTGTCTCTGATCATTTTTCCTGTCTGTGAGATCAGGGCCGCTGTCTCACTGTGTGGCCCATGTGCTGTTTTGGAACGTCAGTTAAGTAGATGAACAGGAATGGCGTGTTGACAAAATTGTGGTCGAGATGAAAAGGAAGACCTTAAAGAAAATTTGGTTGCACTCGTTTCAATATTTGTTTTTCTATGTTATAATCAACATTGCTAATTAAGATGCAGAATGACTGCAATTAGCAAAATCCAACTCATTTATCTCGGATGCTAAACATGTCATTACAGTTTAACATTCATCTATTTCTGGCGGACAGTGAAATATTATATTCAAAAATATAATATAAATCACATTGTCATAGTGCATTCTTATTGTCTCATTAGGGATGCTGAAACATTTCTCCTGGACTCCAAAAAGATCCGCGCTACTGATGGGGGGTGGCTGGTGTTTGACATCACGGCCACCAGTAATCACTGGGTCCTGAACCCGCAGCAGAACATGGGCCTGCAGCTCTGCGTGGAGACCACTGACGGTAAGACAGGGACATCTGTGCTTTAATTAAGGACAATCACACAGTTTATGCTGTGTCAGAGAATGCATTCAGAGGATGGTACTGGAAACTGGAGTATCAGCGCTGGGTAGATTACTTACAAATTGTAGTCCATTACTACATGATGAAAACTTTAGTTAGTAACGTAATCTTGGTTACTAATTTTAGGTACTGTATTGTGACTACGTTTTAGATCCCTTTTTATCTAACTTGTTTTAAACTTACCATGACATTTACTTATATTGACATAAAAAACAGAGAAACAAGTAAATTGTTTTATATCAACATAAAACATTACATTAAAGGGTTAGTTCACCACAAAATGAAAATTCTGTCATTAATTACTCACCCTCATGTCGTTCCAAACCCGGAAGACCTTCGTTCATCTTCGGAACACAAATTAAGATATTTTTGATGGAATCTGAGAGCTCTCTGACCCTGCACAGACAGCAACGCAACTGTAATGTTCCCAAGTCCAGAAATTCTCAGATTCCATCAAAAATATCTTAATTTGTGTTCTGAAGACGAACGAAGGTCTTCCGGGTTTGAAACAACTTGAGGGTGAGTAATTAATGACAGAATTTTCATTTTGGGGTGAACTATCCCTTTAAACCAGGGTTTCCCAAACTGGGCTTAATGTCAGAACTGCAGTGGGTTTGTTTGTTCTGATAAAAAGCTAGTAAGTAATTAAATCATAAAAATGTAAAATAAATTATTTAAACAGTTGAACACTAAAAAGAGAAATATTTAATTTGTTTACCTGCATGACAATGTCACCATTAATTGACATCAGAGAACTGTAAACATTCAAATGTGTTTTTAAATAATTGAAATATTAACTTCCTCAGAGATATTTCAAGTAAATATTTTATGTCAAAGGGGTTTAGCTGACAAACCTTTGGAAATCCCTGCATTACATGAACAAAAATTAATAAATATGTAAACAGCAATGACATTACACAGCTTGGAAAAAAATGTGTCCAGATTTCCAGAATCACCAGTTACTGAAGGTTACTGGATATGATGACATCATAGGGTTTCACAGCTATATATCACCAGTGTTTTGGAACTTGCATAAATATATAGTTCAGTCATGAAACTCTAGATGGCGCATTCTGACGGGGTGTTAACGTAACTGATGATATTCAGAGAGTTAAACGACTTGGCACAAGCTGATTGGTTAACTACAGCAATAACCAACAGCAGCAGCAATTCAGCAGCAGCGTAGCAGATCTGTTCCGCCAAGACCAAATGCATTAACATTGTCAGATCCATCACCATGCTAAAATGTTCCGAGAGTTGTCATGATTGAATTATGTTTCATACATGGTCTAATTGCTTGAGAGGTGCGGTTTTCCACCCAAATTCAGAAGCATGATTTGCGTTTTTTTAAAAAGCCTTTTTCCAAAAGGTACATCAGGAAAAAGGGGGGTCGTCTTATAATCAGGGTCGTCTTATACTCGGGCCAATACGGTATTTACCTGACTCGTTTTACCTGGCCATTCTATATTGTGGATATAGTCAAAACTAAATTATATGACACACAGTAGAAACAGTATGTTTAGAAAGGCAAATTTAAAAGAGAAAAAAGAGGAATTATGGAGAAATAAATTATGAATGATTTACTGCCATTGTGTGAATAATATGTAATCATGTAATCCATAAAAAGTAACTGTAATCTGGTTATGAGCATAATCAAATGTAATATACAAATTACGAGTACTTTATTTTTTGGAATCTGATTATGTAATCCAGATTACATGTAATCAGTTACGACCCAGCTCTGTGGAGGATAATGGCACTGCACACATTATTTTCTAGTTTTGCTTGACAAATGACTGATGGAGTGTTTCACGGATAGGAATGCTCATGAAATTGCCATTGGTCAATGATCACTGGTCAAAGTCTGTAGCACAAAATTTTTTACAATTTTCCAAGTTGTGCACTAGTTATAGAGTATCATTGTATAACAAGTGTTATTTACGCTTGTGCAGTTCAAACTTTGTGAAGGTGGGTCATAACAATTTGAGTATTAGTATTAGTAACCAGGGGTACGTTCCCCAAAAGCATTGTTATCCAACTATGGTCATGAGTTTCATCAGTACCAACATAGTTCAATGATTTGGTGTTTCCCAAAATCATAGTTTCATTGGAAAACAGCATCACAAAAAATGTGTGGTTGGAAATATAGCTTTCAATCTGTGGTTAAAAGCATAGTTTCTTGTTAATATGTCTTGAGTTAACATGCAGGACAATCTATGCAGTATATTTCCTTCCTTCCTTCCACAAATATCATTCTCTGTCTTTAAGTATGTCAAGAGAATTAAAATGCTGTTTTTGAAGAGCATGCATGTGCTGTAGTGCACTGTGTGATGTAAGAGGCAACCTGCAATTGAATCACACATCTGGAAATAAAGCAATAAAACATCAGATAACAAAAAGCCCTTAGAATAATCTGGCATTAATTATTTAACTCTCAAACCAATTAATTAACAGAAGTTATTACTCCACCTGTGTGACATCATTTACAACAATTCTATATTGTTGAACCAACGTGGTTTGAATGTCGGATGTATGACAAATTTACTACCGGTTCAGGACTACCTAATTGATTTTTTCAGTGAAGCATTGTAATGCGGTGTTTATGTAGAGAGTTACACCATTGTACGGGAAACTCTAGATTAAATATGTGGAACTGCGAATGTGGGATGTGTTTTGTATTTAGTGGAGCTTTACAATAAATGCCTGCCAGACTACCATTGCTCTATGTAAATAATGTGTTGGGTAATTTATTGAATGATAAACATTTGGTCACTTTAAAGACAGCGCTACATTTTAGTGTTCTTTCCTGCATGTGCTTTATTGTTTTGATTATTGCTGCATACTCGTTTTACTGGAAATAAGGACCATGAAATGCAGCTGGTGTTATTTCCATTCACATATTCATTATATTAGCTTAAAAACAGACACGTTTACCAGCGTGAGACTTCACAAAAGTATCATCTTTGAGTCACGACTACACCCAGTGTTTCCTCTTTCTTAAATGGGAACCTGATGCCATGAAGTTGTCTGCATTTTAGGATCAGTTTTCAGCCCTATCCCTCTCAGTTTGACATGTACACAATCACTACAGTATCTGTGTGGACCATAGAAACTGTCATAAATAGTTGTGATGATTTTGCTACCCAGGAAGAGGTTTTCATGCCTTAATCAAGGCTGTTTGTCTAATGTTGATCTCTGTAATCGGATGCATACATCTGTTTGATTTTCAGGTAGAAGCATCAACATGAAATCTGCTGGCATCATCGGGAGGAACGGACCTCAGTCCAAACAGCCATTCCTGGTTGCTTTTTTCAAAGCCAGTGAGGTTCTGCTCCGTTCTGTAAGAGCCACAGGAAGCAAGAGGAAGAGCCACAGCAGAAACAAAAGCAGAACACAACAGAAATTTTCGCCAGCTCTCAAAAGTGGAGGTAAAAACATTCAGAAGTGCTGTACGCAATGTTTTTCACTTATCTAGCTTCCACTAGACACAGAGCAGCTACAGCTCACTTTCTTCATGCACATACATGTTACACCAAAAAACTCAGCAGTTTCTTGATCTCACAACCTCTTGTCTGATCACTGGATCAAACTAATTGAACTACTCACTGGATTTACGAAATGTGTCAAGTTAGTGACATCAAATCTACTAAAGATACTCAAGGCACATTGTAAGAAGGTGCTTATGGAGAATGTTGTGCCGTTATATGATTGTTTTTTCAAGTGTTTCAGATAAACCATGGCAGGTGAAAATAAAATGAACTCTGGTTCACATTACTTGTCAGTCAGATTACAGTCATGTCACTTTTTTTCTGTTTACAGAGGCTAGGGCCGCCACAGAAAGGTGTGATTTCCTAGGGTTCCTATTTCAGTGATACCTGTCATATTTTAGGGATATTTTCTGTAGACTATTTTGTATAGATCACTTACAACATCGCTCATTTGCATTTAATACGTAGCAGTTGTTTTATTCCACAGTTCTAGATGACTCACATGAGAAATACCTGCTGAGCTTTCCTGATGTTTTCTAAATGTAGGCCCCTTTGCTGCCATCAAATTACTGAGTATTTACTGCATTCAGAGTCTGTATACAAAGACGTCCTGCCAGCTGCAAACATAGAGCACACTGAGCCCACACACACTCCTAGACTAAACAACACGACCACTTCAGTGTTTGAAGGCTCAACCTCCGTTTTGTTGCTGTTATCTAGATCAGAACACCAGTGAACAGAGACAAGCCTGCAAGAAGCATGAACTTTACGTGAGCTTCCGTGACTTAGGATGGCAGGTAAACGCATGCAAGACATCAATCAATTACAAGACTGCACAGCGTGATTGCTTCACTCAACCAGAGAATTCATCTCTGTCTCTCTGTCATTTTAGGATTGGATTATTGCTCCAGAGGGCTATGCAGCCTTTTATTGTGATGGAGAATGCTCATTTCCACTCAATGCACATATGAATGCGACAAACCATGCGATTGTGCAGACCTTGGTAAGCCTCCTTTGCTTCATCATAGAGTATTTGTAAAAAAAAAAATATATATAGAAGCAGCTCCAAAAATGAGACCTAAAATGGACAGCAGTTTTGTATGATATATATATCAGATATATCATAGCAGATATGTATGTACTGTATGTATGTACATCAACTTTTGGTCCTAGTTCGTGTATTTCATGGTAAAATGAATACATTTCATTGTTTAGTTTGAAAGATATTTTTGTTTGATAAACCATTTTTTGTTACTATGTTGTCTCCATTTAAAGTCCACTCCCACATATCATACATTTCTCTTTTTTTTTCTCGTCATAGGTCCATCTAATGTTTCCTGATAATGTGCCAAAGCCTTGCTGTGCACCGACCAAACTGAATGCCATATCGGTGCTGTATTTTGATGACAGCTCAAATGTAATTCTGAAGAAGTACAGGAATATGGTGGTGAGGTCCTGTGGATGTCATTGAGGACATTGAGGAGCTTCTGTGTCATATTGCTGGAATAACATATCAAAATAAATAGTTTTTGACATTTGATGTACAGTATTATGTATATATTAGCTCACGAATCCTCTTATTTATTTGGCTTTGTTTTGTAATAACGTTTTTTTTTTTTTTTATATGAGAGATGTAGATGAGTTACCACTCTTTACCACAGATCCATAGCTGATTGCTCTTTCTCTGAGAATATGTTAATGAGTTAGGCCAGTTAGAGAGAGTTGTACAGGATCAAGTATAATTTCCTTTCTTTAGATTACATGCCAAGTTCATAAGCAACCACTCCAAAACAGAACTGCTGCTATTTTACAAAAGAAATGTAAATGCCTTAAACTCTAAGTCACCTAATCACATTTTTTTTTTATGTGGGGAAAAACAGCCATATTGGATTTTGCAAGCAATTAAACAAACAAATGTTTTTCTTTGTTAACTAAAATTATCGTAGTGTTGTTGTAAAAGCACTGAGTATGTCCTAGGACTATACAGTACATATTTCCTCAAATAGCCCAAAGTATTGCAGCCCACACATACTGTTTCATATTAGTTTGCTTTAGATATCAGTGGGTGGATATGCAAAATATATATATTTTTTTTCTTCGAGCAAATATTCTTCTTCCTTATATACACTTGTATTAGTACTCTGAGTAATATATTAGTTTGCTTTAGATATCAGTGGGTGGATATGCAAAATATATATTTTTTTTTTCTTCGAGCAAATATTCTTCTTCCTTATATACACTTGTATTAGTACTCTGAGTAATATATATATTTTTTTTAAATATTGCATTTATTATTTTAGAACAGTGTTTGTATGTCATTAAATCTATTTTCAAATATATTTTCTGTGTCTGTCTCTACCAGTTGACTCACCATGAATTTGCTAGAAAACTTTTTTCTTTTTGTTTAAATTTTGATAAATATTTGCATGCAAATCTATGTTGACCTCGTCTGATCAAAACTTGCCATTTTTTATGAAGTACATGTTTGTTGAATGCCAGAAAATTGAGCGACTGTATTTGACTTAATTGAAACCAGTGGCCAGGGCACCCAGATGTTATGTGGCCCCGATCTAAAAAGAGTGTTGACGTCCAATGAATAGCGGAGGCCACCTGCTAACTTAACTTCTAGCGGCGTGGATGATTTGCATTCCTGCGGCCTGCTGCCCTGCATGATTACTCCTGCTGCTTCACAATCCCATCTACTGTTTAATATCATGGATTCCTTCCAATTCCACTAAATGTCTTCCTTTCTACAACACCAGGCCCAGTGTGAATGCTGCTATTTTAAGGAAATCTGTGCCAGTGAGCAGACTCTCTTAGTATAGTAGCCACATAAAAGGGGAAAGGGATCATTCGCCATCGTGAGTATAGATTAATATACTGTCCCGTTCCCTGCGGAGAGCACACATATGCACACGATCGTTCAAAGTGAGGCCCTTCGGGTCTATGGACGCTCATTTGACAGGCAACCTCAATGATAGCGTTTACACGGTTAATATCAGACTTCCGTCTGATGTGTATTAACCCGATTGCTATAACCAGATTAGGCCAATGTTCTGGTTTCTAGTATACTAAGACAGCTGGAATAAGTTTATGAGAATTAGAATTTTGTGTCGTGATCTGCACATATCCAAATTAAAGTAATTATCAGCACTACAACTCGAGGTATGTGCAGTTGTGAAAAATCAAGCTATCCAGATCATTTTTAGAGCAAAAAGGAGACGGATTCTATTACGTTTACTTTTTTTCCAGATTAAAGGCTTAACCAGACCACAGAGTTTAATCGGAATAATGATGTGCGTGTAAACATGCTTGATCAAATTGTTAACAGAATTTGGATTTTATGTTTTTTGAACCATAAAACTAGGGGACACCCACCGCACCACAAGTCTGTGCTTCATTCGTTTAGATTCTAGCTCAAATTGCTGCTCTGTTTCTGATCTTTGACTTCATTGTAGTAATGAGCTTCATATGCTTGTTGTTTTGTGTAGTCAAAGGGGCGATTGTCAATCATATCCCTGTGTTACACTGAAATAAACCCTGGTATGCCTGAAATGAAACCACAACCTACAGTGGACATCACACGAACAGAGCTAAAAATGCAGTTCTTTTGTCCCGTACACATACACATGCACATGCAGTGGAAGGAGATGCATATTAAAATGATTAGGAGTGTGTTTTATCTAGTTAGGTAAATATTTAGGACACTACACCCCAAGAGAACACAATATGAACACGTGCACAGCTTTGTATAATGAATGGAAAACACATGATTTTTAACCCGTGTGACATTAGTTGAAATATGTATGATACCTAAAGGCAAGGAAAAGTTTGTTTTTATTTATCTTTGTGATTCCGCATGGTAAAAAACGACTTTTTTTGTTCTGTTTGTGGATCATTCATGACGACAAACAAATTAATGACACAAATAAATAAAATGTCAATCTCTATCATAAAGTATCAACAATGTCACATTTATTTGTGAAATTCTTCTCCCATTACTTTAGCCTATCGTAAGCTAGAACATTTTTCTTTTCTTTTCTCTGGCCTCAGTTTATTTTGAAAGTGTCCGCTTGCAGTTGGCCCACAACGCTGCTGAAACTTGATCTAATCAAAATGTTTTCCAGTTTACTTTCTTCATCTTTCCACATACCCTTTTTCCAATTTGGGTTTAGTGGGTGGGCTGTAGACCCTTATTACAGCTCAATCAGATGTCCCTGAGCAAGTCAAGCACCTGGGTCACATTTTTGCAGACTAGTTACCAGGACAAGGTCATGGCTCAGAATACAGAGGATGTGTTCTGAGTCAAATGTTATTTGTGTGTGTGTGCATGCGTGCTTGTTTTGGTGTAAAAGAGGTGAGAGAAGTCTATGTTTGACCCCAGAAGTCCCATTGAATCTGTGTAAAAAGGAACACCTGTACACTACTGCATTCCCAATCACTGCCAGAATGTTTCAGGACTGGACCGTGTTCAGAAGCAAAGAGCCACTGAGCCAGGTCATGCGTTACAGTGATTTTATCATGGGCAATGCGATTAATCTTCTTAATGTGGTATAATCGCTGTAACACACAGGCATGACTGGCTTCATAAAACTGTTTAAAAAATCAATTTTATATAAATAATTCCTCAAACATACTTCTTCAATTAACTGAGCCTTATCTGTCTGCCATACGTGTATGCATATACATATACTGTATAATAAATAGAAATGCATTTTATCTCTATTAATGTTTGCCATAAACAGGATTTGGAATACTAACATTGCATTCCTAAGCTAGCTTTTCCTATCTGGGAATGAACAACAGAACAATGTTTAATGTTGAATTTGCTTTATTTTATAAAGTGAAAGTTATATAGTCTCACCGGGTGTAATAGAAATGCATTTTATCTCTATTAATGTTTGCCATAAACAGGATTTGGAATACTAACATTGCATTCCTAAGCTAGCTTTTCCTATCTGGGAATGAACAACAGAACAATGTTTATTATTATTTCATGACTGTGTCACATTTTTCAATTTGTCTGTCAATGAACACAGTGCTACACCATTTTTACTGTGTAAAGGTGGCTATTTGGTTAAATACAGGTGTAACCCAGTGGAATTGGGGTAAAATAATAAATGAGACATGAGTCAGTGATTTGTTAAATTTGTTTATTTTCATATTGTACATTTTTCCAGTTCTGTAAAAGAAATATTCATTGTTATTGTCACTTGACATGTAAAATGTTTGCTTTATTTTATAAAGTGAAAGTTATATAGTCTCACCGGGTGTATTGTTGAGGTGCCGAAGAAGAAAGAGATGACGTTGGTGTGGGGAAAAAAAGGCAGTGGGCAGAGAGTGCGAGGAATAGAGACAGTAATATGTGAATAATATATTTCTGGGGTGACATCTGATAGATTAGGGTGAATAATCCTTACGAGCTATCGGATTATATCTCAGTGCTGACTAGTGCTTTGACTAAAGGCTCAATTCGGTTGATTTACGGACAGTTTAGACTTTGGAGTCTAACGCTGGCCCCCAGCTGCTAGCACAAGTGCCGCGCAGGACGAGAGACTGTACACGTTTGTTGACTAAACAGGCTGGAAGTACAGTCTGGGCCATACGTCTGGATAGAGTGCTGCACGATCTACGTTGATGGTGCTATTGCATAATACGTGCGTGGTGAGCTCATTCCTTTTATTTATTTTATTTTGCTCCTAGGAGTGAAGTAGCCACAAGTTTAGGCTACTACAAACCCAAGCGTCAATCCAGGCCTGCAACGAGAACTGTATTTAATTTGGTTTCTGCCGGCTGTTAGTTTATTTAGGATCAGAAAAATGTTTAACTGTCAATTGTCTTTTGATTATTTTCCAATTAATATCTTTGTGTTTACTATTCTATTTTATATTCAGTAAAGTGTTTATCTATTTGCCTTAATTGTTGTTGCTTATTCTATTTTATTTCCCTTTACTACTGCACGTTTATTTGAGAACACCAGCAACCCGATTAACCTTTTGCCCTTATTAGAATAATGGACATTTGAGTGTATATTAGATCATAAAAGAACTCAGGTTAGCTTTCCCCCATAACCGTACTAATGGGTGTGCTACAGAAAATGGAGGCACCGGATGAGGGTTTCTGATTAGTCGTTTTAGTGGTGTGTGTCCATAGCAAGGGTAGAATGGCAGACAGATCAGAGCTAGTAGCTGAGCTTAAAGGATGGTGCCATGGCGAGGGTCTAGATGAGGCTCACTCGCTTATGGTTATGATACCTGAGGATGTTGAAATCGCTCAGATTGAGGATACATTGCATACAGTGAAATGTCTTGGCTGTGTTCGTGTACGAGGAAGAACATTCCTCAGGAGATACTGCCCATCAGTGGCGGAGAGGATTGGCCTGTTGTTATAATTGGTGAAGCCCCTGCCACTGATGATGAGTTTAGTAGCAAACTGTTAAGGTTGTTGCAGGCAGAAGGTAAGACAGTGGAAGATCTTCGTGATTTCTTTCCAAATTCTGAACCATCTACCAGCGCTACTGATGTTCTGCAGATAGTAGGTAACTTGTAGGAAAAGACAGCAAAG